AATAATATGTGTAAGATGGATCCATCATGGATCCCATGGTCTTGTTGGACACAAAAATTCCATCACCTTGAGCAAGAGCCAGATGCACCAGGCCCCCACCAATGGCAAACCCTATGTCTGTGGCACCCAGACTTGGAAGGACCATTAGGACTTTGCCAAAAAAACTGGCCCAGTTGGCTCTCTTCAGAGACAAGTTTTGCTGGAAGACTCTGGGCCTGAAGAGAGTGTCCCCAAGCCCAGGCATCTGCCAACACCCCAGCACTGTGAATGAGCTGATCTTTCCCAGTCCACCATCCCAACTCTAATTGCCCACTGGGACATCCCCATAGTTTTGAGCCTGGTGTTCTCCCTCCCTCACCAGGCTGAGTTACCACTGGAGTCAGGCCTGGAAGCACGAGCAGGTTGACCACAGAGCCCAGAGACAAAGGGCTCCTACTGGGAATTCCAATATCTTGAGGTCTGGTCTACGTGTCTTCAGTCCAGAAAGACCATGAGTGGACATCCAGGAATTTCCCTGAAATTTGCTGTCCCTCCTCCCACCAACCACTAGTTCAGAGGTCTGTGCCATTTGTACCATTTCTTTGAGTATAAGAGCTGAATCCTGCCACATGTCACATCTTCCCTGACACTGCCAGGATGAAATGAGCAGGCTCTGAGACTTTACAGAGACTGTGTCATGAGGGGCTTCATACCCTCAAGAAAACATGAAGCAGGGCCAAAGACTGGTCTGCACCCTGCATGGCGGCCCCTCATCTGGCCCCTTCGAAATTGAAGTGTGCCTGTATACGCTTATTGCATAGTCATGGACTTCCATTAAAATGCCCTTGAAGGAATGCAGGTGTCTGTGCACACACAGATGCATAGGGTGCTCTTACTGGTTTCCACTTAGCACGTCCAGTTCCTAGGACTTAAAGAGCAGGTTTTCATGCCGTCTCCTTCCCAGTCCTAGACTGGAGTCCACAAGTAGATATCCATGAGAGCACATTTCCTGGTCAGCTGACACATGCATGCCTATAACATAATCAGGTAAGAGATGCCACCACTTCACAGGAAGCTTGTTCAAATAGACCAATGCTTCAAGGAGCTCTGCTGGAATCCCATCAACCCTCATTTTCCTAAACAGAACCTTCATGAGGACATTTTCCACAGGTTTGGATTTAAAATACTAGACCCAGACATCACATCCAGTCCCACAAAACATCCAGGTAGAGGAGACACAACGTCCTCACATGAAGCCTTGTTAAACAGTCTGACGTTTCATGTCCTATAATCCCTGCCATTTTTAGGCTCTGCTCCCAGAACCTTCTCTCGTCCACCCCCAGATCATTTTACTCTCTCTGCTTTAAGAGGCCTTGGGTCTCCAGCAGCGCCGTGAGTAAAGAGACCCAGGCCCTCGCCTTGATCTTGACTGGATCACCCCATATGGCCTTTGCCCCAAGCAATGTCTGGTCACATTTTTCAGTGTGACCTCTGGACTTAGAGACTCTCCAAGCTGGGGAAGACACCACAAACTTGTTTGGAGCCCTTAACACTGGACCATCTGCAGGTGTTTTTTTTTTTTTCTCATCTGCTCAAGCTCCCATAATGCTTTGGTAAGACCTCTGTTTTAAGCTTCATCAGTTTCCACTTTGCTCATCACCTTTCTGAATAACCATATAAAGACTTTGATCCTCCTGAGGAGGGTCATCTGATTCTCTATTTTCTCTTCTCTTTCAGTCTCATCCCTACCAAGGTTTTCTCTATCCGACTGATTTCTTGGAAGCCATTTAAAAGTGTCCACCTTCCTGGAGTCCTTTCACTGTCCTGTCACCCATCTTTCCCCATTTCTGGGGTAATTAACCTCATGTTATTAGCTAGCACCTGAAAGAACCATGAGGGGAGTTGGGGACTGCAAATGTAGTGAAACTTTTTGAATGGACTTCTGGTTTGGAAGCAGTAAGGTTCTATCTAAGGCAGTTCTTATGAAGCGTCGCCTTGACAGCATTTATTAGGACCTGGGGAACTAGCATATTCAATGGGTGAATACCCTGTTCATGCTATGGCCTGCCCCATGTGGCTTGTATAAGATGCACACCCTACTGCTTCGTCTGGAGGGCTGAGGATGGCATTTTTAGGTGAGGTGGATTATTTCCCTTGACTGTGTAAGCTGAGCTTGCAGTGGCACTTATCCCGTCCCCTAGGCTGGCTGTTTCCTAGGGAAAATCCTCATCTGTGTCTGCATCATTGAAGGCCATCTGTCAGTTTTTGGACTGTCTAAGGAGACGTAGCAAGTTCTAGCAAATAGTAAAGAAGGCACAGTAACCCACCCCAAGGAGCCAAGAAGGATCTAAACCACTGGGACATCATCCATGGCCTTGAGGTGGAGGACACGGCAGGAACACTGTATTTCCTCTGGAGTACAGGAGAGGGCACAATCTCCTGCACCTCCCCATACAGTAAGGACACGCGATGGATGAGGAGGTGGTGGCGCCCGGGCAAAGTTCTGGCGAATACTCTCTGCAGCGCAGTAATACCACAGCCAGGGTGTAGAACACAGAGACCAAAGCTGGGCCACATGCTCTGTCGGACGCCAATGGCACAACGAAATTTGTATACTCTGCTTTCAGCAGAGGCTTCCATGTGACTGGAAGCTGAGAACCCTCTGTGTTAGTTTCTCCATAGGCTGCCCCAAAAGTCTTCTGGGACCAGGATATGAAAACACCGCTATGGATGGCTAGAGCCTAGAGTTGCTCTTCACGCCTTTGTGACAGCATCTCTGCCATGTATTGCAGAGGCCTGGGGGAAGCTATGAGAGTTGGACCTGTGTGGAATTTTTGAAATTCCTTTCTATCTAACATATGAACTGGAAAGCCTGCTCAGAAAAATTCCTGACCATGGATCCCTGAGAGGAGCCAACACTAGATCAATTCCTGGGCATTCATGGTTTTACATGTGCCAGGGTGTGGGGAGCCATTCTCCAGTTGCCTGGGTAACCATACCTCCAGGAAAAGGAGGTGGAGCTCTTGCCTTTTCTGGACCTCGTTAACACCAGCATTCCTTCCTGTGTCCCAAGGTCCATCCACTCTGTCCACCTAAAGACGCCAGCCTTGGCCACCCTGCCTTTCCCACCTTCATCTTATTTCCTGAGGAGGACCAGGCGTGAGGACAGGAGGACAGGAGGCCAGCAGGACAGCTGGAAATCCTCCTGAGTCAGGAGTAAGTAGCAGCCCCACCCCCAACCCCTGCCGTGGATCGAAGAACTGGAGTAACTCTCTACCTATGTTGGTGGGTCCCCATCTTCCACTGTAGGTAGAGGGGAATGTGCCGATTCAGCCTCACACTGAGCCTCAGGAATTCTGTGGGTGACCCTCTCTGCCCTCACTAGAAGGATAGGTTGGGTTTTTTTTTTTCTTTATTTTATTTTTATTTATTTATTTATTTATTTATTTATTTATTTGCTATAGGGCACGTGCTCTACCCCGCCAATTTATTTTTTTAAGTTTATTTCTTTTAGAACTCTCGCCAGAGAGAGAGAGAGAGAGTGGAAGAGAGAAAGTGAGAAATCACCCCTCAGGGGTGACGACCATGCCACAATCTCTTCTCTTCCATTATCCCCTCGGGATTTGGGGCACACACGCCTGGCATGAGTTTCAAGCCACTGGGTCTGGAATTCAAAATGTGCAGGCAGCCCTGTGGGATCCAGTGCCTAGCCTCCATGCCACCTACTAGTCCCGAAGCTAGCTCTTGAAGACACATATTTTTTCCTGCCACCTCATCCCTACATACAAGCCCACGCAATGCTGGGAAAGCTCTTCTGGGAGAGATTTAGGCAGTTTCTAAGGGTAATTTGCTGTTCCAGGATTCTGTCATGGCTGCTGTTTTCAGAACTCAATGTCCTTAAAAATCCCCCTGCACTGAGCTAGAGATGTTCATTTTTTAAATCTCACAATCCATAAAAGGCTGTTATCCCCATTAGATGAAGAATTCGTGGCTCAGAGAGTTTTCTAGGGGTCTGGCCCCATGCCCACAGTGCGCCCTCCAGGACAGATGTAGGGCGTCACGGGGGCAGATGCATCTCCTGCTGCCAGCTGACCTCTCTCCTGCAGTGCTGCTTTCCTCTATCCTAAATGGTTACCTCAGGGATGGTGCTTGAGGTATCGTGAGATTGGTTTCTCCTGGATGCCGTGTGCTCAGGGATTTCTCAGTCACTGGCCTCCTTCCTCTGTGCACTTTCAAATTGCAACAGCTCTCTACACTCTCACAACTTCAGCAGCATGGGAAGCCACTGGTCAATACAGATCCCTGATCCTGCCAGTCACACTCCTAAACCCTGCAGGGTCACATCATGCCTCTGCCCAGAAATCTTCAGTGTCTGGACACCGAGGGCCTAGACACTGAGGGCCAAGACCTCCAAAGCCTCCATGACTCCCAGATCCTGCTCTTCCAGGCCCACTGTGATTGGACTTGCCAACCCTGAGCTCTGGCACAGGTGCCCCTGTCCAGCCTGTTACTCCCAATGCCCTGCCCAAATCCTATTCTTATTCAATAGCTCCCTAGGCCTTTGGTTTTCTTCTTCTGCAACTCAGAGAGGACTCCCCACCCTGCCTGGGCCCACACCCTCAGGATACCTCATCTCACAGGTGAGAAGACTATTCCAGGGCCAGTGCCACCCAGCCAACCACACCCAGATCTGCATCCCAATCCCCCCACCGCCATGGTGTGTATGACCTTGGGCAGCCACACAGCCTCAGCTTCCTCATCTGTCATGTAACCTAGCAAGAGTTCCCTCTCCTATGTTGGTTGCAAAATCTTAATGAGGTCATGAGGTCAGCAGGTGGCATGGTGGATAAAGTGCTGGAATTCCCACATGGCTGACTGTGGTTCAAGTCCCGGACCTGGCGACTTGCTTTTTCACTCTCCCTCTCTGTCTTTCTCTGGCAAAAACTCATGTAGAAAAAATTTTAAAATAAATAAATAAAATAGATAATTATTTTTTAAAAAAATCTTAATGAGGTCAGGCTTGCAGAATGCCTACCCTGTACCTGACAAGAGTCGACATTAAATAAACTAATTGCCACTGCCACAGTCACCACCATCACCATCAAAACCTCACAGGGAATGCCAAAGAGATAAATGTTTGCATGTCACAAAGGTGCTAAGTTCTGTGTCCAAATTACTGCTGACAGTGTCCTTGGTGCACCTCCTGCATTCCAGCCACTGAAATCAGCACCTTGATTCTATTTAGATGACACTCATCTTCAAGATGTAAAAACTGAGGCTTAGAGCAAGAGATTTGTCAAAGGTCACCTAGGGGACAGTGTTCAGAACAGACTAGAGCTGATGGAAGATGAAGGGATAAATGCCATTGCTCATGCAGTGGCCCTGTGATGCCTCAAGCCGCTATGTAGGAATCTGGCTGGTCCATTGGAGAGCCCAGGCCATCTGGCCGCAGTCCCGCTATCTGGCAGCTGCTCGGCAGTGCTGCTTTACCTGGGAGTGGCTGGAACACACCCTGGTTCTTCACGTCCACTGCCAAGTCCAAGTGGGAACAGTCAGCTCACGGCGACCACCTTGCTGGCCCCTCTGGGAATGAGGCCGCTGATCCTCAGGGGCAGCTCCAGGGTCTGGCCCACTCAGGCCTCCATCTGGCATGGGGTGAGCTCCACACTGCTGGGCTCGGTCACACACACCTGCAGGACAGGGGCATGGCCCAGGTGCATCAGCCTCCAAGGACAGCTCCAATTGTACTAGGGCTCTGTCTGCTGGGCGCTGAGGACCCGTCAGTGAGTAGACTGAGCCGGGTGACAGGGTGGTGTGTGCTGAGCAATGGGCTCACTCGGGAAAGCCTCCCTGAGAAGGTGACACAGGAGCTCACTCCTGAGAGCCATGTCAGAGGCAGCCAAGCATAGGTCTGGGGGAGAAACATTCTGGATGGAGGGACCGTCCTCGCCAAGGTCCTGAGGCACAGGCTGGCTCAGCACACTGGAGGAATAAGAGGTGCTAGTTTGACTGGAGTGCAGTAGCAAGGGGAGTGGAAGGAGACAGGGGCTGAGAGACAGCGGGTCCCAGCATGAGGCTGGGGTAAGAATCCTGCTTCTCACTGTACCAGCACGAGGGAGAACAGAGGTTTCTATCACCCTGGCCTCTGTGTAAAATCAGCAGCTAGTGACCCAGGGGGAGGCTGCCTGAAATGTCCCAGTGAGAGACCAGCAGTTAGCATAATGGCTATGTCGCTGGACTCCCATGTAGCTGACCACAGTTCAAATCCTGGACCTGGTGGCTTAAATTCACGCTGGGTGCGTGTGTGTGTGTGCCCAAGATCCTGACAGGAGAATGGCGGCGAAGGGATTGCAGCGTGGACATCCCTCCGGGGGGTGATTTCTCACTTTCTGTCTCTCTGTCTCTCTCTGTCTTTCTGGTGAGCGCATGAGCCCTATAGCAAAAACCTCTCAAAAAAAAAAAAGTTGACAGGACTACATATGAAAAAAAAAAATTAGGAAATGTCCCAGTGAGATGATGATGGCTTGAACCAAGGTGGTGGCGGGGTGAGAGTAGGAATCAGGTAGGCTTGAGAAATATTCCAACCGTACAGCTGATTGGACGTATTGAGAGAAAGGTAACAACCACTACTACTAACAGAAAACCAAATTTCCTCCCCTTCAGGTTCCGCTCTAAGGACCTTCAATCCCTTAGCTTCCCTTTAAGAAGGTCTGATCAGCAGCCTCATCTACGCCGTATAGGGCCTGCCCCAGGAGGGGAAGTGGTTGTACCAGCTCCAGCGGGTGAAGTCTGAGCTGAACCCTGGCTTAAAGGCCAGGTTCTCTCCTGGATCCACTCTGTCTCTGGAAGAACCGTCCCCAGGCTTCGGGCTCAGCACTCAGGAGAGAGGGGACACATTTCCCAGGAGGAGGAAGGTGGCAGAGAAAGGACAAGACCGTCCTAGCATATCTAAATATTGAATAACTATGTTTCATCTAAGAGGCTTTTGTTAAATCCTGCTGCATCCGAGGATTAGATCTATCTTTAGATGTGCGCGTGGCTGTGTGCATCTCAGTAAAAAGACAGAATAACCTGTCCATCCAGGTCCCAAATGCATGTGAGAAGGTTGTGACCAGACATTCTGTGGGGCTTCAGTGTCTGCCCTAAAGGAAACAACAAAGGGGTTGAGGTCAGAGCAGTGGTCAGGCAGGGCTTGGGGTCTGCGACTGCACTGGGGCTTGCAGAGGCTCAGCCGTAGGTGACTACCCCCTCTTGCTGCCATCGCTCAGGGTCAAAAGCCAGGCTTGGGGACAATGTACTATATACTGAACGGAAAGGAGGCGGAAGGAGTCCAGACTGGTGTCTTGCAGCTAGGAGGCTCCCGTCACTGAGAATTTGCACAGTTCGGGGGCCCTTCCAATTTGAGACTCTTATCTTTCCAGTCTGGGAATTTCCTAGAATAGCTCTTTGGTTATCTCATGTCTTCTGTGTTCTCTGGCCTTCCTCCCAGTAAACCCAACTCTGTGGATGCTGGCCCTCTGCGGCCATGACTGGCTGATGTGGGATGTTTTATATCCACCTCCTCGGGCTGGCTGTAAGCTCAAGGGCAGGCCCGAGGCTCGACTCCTCATCCCTTCACCTCTTTACCCATTGCCAACAGCAATTACAGGACTCAGAACTAAAGGGTGTTTCTGCATGAAACCCAAGGGCTGCCGAAAAAGAGGTGGCTGGAGACCACCTCTTCAGTCTCCCTGAGCTGTCCTGGCCCTTGGGGTCTCACCTTTATCTCACTGAAATGTGGTGGGTTCTCTGGAAATCGTGTTCTCAGATGACTGAGTCCTCTGTCACTGCCTGTGCCCTTCACGGTGACTGTGGCAACGGCTTAGCTTGAGGAAGACCAGCTGAAGTTTCTACTGCCCCTTTAGGCCTAGAGAGAAAACCACAATGGCATCAGCTAGCTGCATGGGGAAACCTGAGGGCAGTTGACAAGTGAGGGTCCCTGCACACGCTGACACTCACGCCCTTACCCTCAGTTCACACCCTTAGCCACTCACCCACTCAGCCACTCACACCCACGTGTACAAGGTCAACGCTCCCCACTGCTTGGAAAATGGGGCAACAGCCAATGTCTAGCTAGATGCTCTCTTGGCCCTTCCTCTCTCAACTCTGTCTCAGTCCTGGTCCTTAATTTTCTGGTGACCTCATGACTGACATACACAAACACACATGCCTGTGACAGTGGCCCCAGAACCAGCAGCACCTCCCAAAACTTGGATTGGAGTGGGAAGAACTCCCGGTCCTGGATCCACCTGCGGGATACTCTTCCAGACACAGAACTCTGCCTCCACTCCCCAGCACATGCCTCTGCCCGCTCGTAGTCATCTGCTAGAAAGTAGACGACAGTCCCTTTTCTTCTCAAAGCAGGGTCACAACCTCACCTTCGCTCAGAAGGTGACACATCTGAGCAAATAGGAGCAGGAACCAGTGCACAGATGGGACACCCGTTGTGACTCCAGGAGACAGCAGGATTGTGCTGTCCTGGAGGCCAGAGCCCCATCTGACATCAGTCCCTGCCAGTGAATACCAGTGGGACATAAAGGTCTTGGCAAGAACTGGTATGAGGCAGGGCAGATAGTTTTCCTTTCAACTGAAATTTGTCTCTAAGAGTAGTTGTATTGCTTTCAATGACAGTTTTTAGAAAAATAAATGTTAAGTGGAATTAAAATATGTATTTTCAGATTTTCTTATTGCACTTTTTTTCCTTTTTTAAAAATTTTGTTTTGTTTTGTTTTCACCATAGGGCATGTGCACTCACTGGAGAGCGATAGAGAGAGGGAAAGTGAGAAGTCATCCACCCCCAGGGGGAATGGCCATGCAGCAATCCCTTCCTCAGTTTCCTCCAGGGATTTTGTGCACATACACACACACATACATGCTTGGTGTGATTTTCAAGGAGTTGGGTCTGGGACTTGAACTGTCAGTCATGTGGGAGTCTAGTGCCTCAACCAACACACCAGTTTCTGGTCCTACTATTTCTTTCTTAAAAAAAAAAAAAGAATTATTTATTTACTTAATTCCATTTGTTGTTGTTATTATTATTATTAATTTGACCAGAGAGAGAGAGAGACAGAGAGAGAAAGGGAAAGCAAGAAAGCAAGCTGCCAGGTCCAGGACTCAAACCATGGTCAGTCATATGGGAATCCAGCGCCTTTAACCACCACGCTACTTGCTGGCCCCAGCCTAACTATTTCTTTAGTTGTTAGTTTTTGTTACTATTTTCTTTCTTTCTTTCTTTCTCTCTTCTTTTCTTTTTTGGGCACAGTGTTTTGTGTGTGTGTGTGTGTATGTGTGTGTGTGTGTGTGTGTGTTTTTAAGAATTATTTATTTAATTTTATTTATTCATTCTTTTATTTTAATTTGACCAGAGAGAGACAGAGAAAGAGTGAAAGAAAGTGAGAAAGCAAGCCGCCAGGTCTGGGACTTGAACCATAGTTGGCCCTGTGGGAGTGTCTAGCACCTTAGCCACCACACCACCTGCTGGTCCCACGGTGTGTTTTTTCACAGCACAAATATAGTATGTAATTATCAAATCACAGATAAAGACATTTTCACTTTCTTCAGCACTAAAAATTACACTATGTTGTGCACATTTGATGATAGTTCTACTAGTTAAGAAAATAAAAATACGGAAGGCAAGAGGAAAAAACTTTTTTTTTTTTTAGTTTTTTGCTACTAGGCATGTGTGCTGTCCAGAGAGAGATAGAGAGACTCAGTGAGAGGAAAAGTGAGAAATCACCCCCTGGGGGGATGACCATGCCATCCTCCATTCTCCTCTCAGGATTTTGGGCACACACGCACATGCCCCCTGTGTGTTTTTCAAGCAGCTGGGTTCAGGACCTGAACTATACAGCTGGTCATGTGGAATCCAGCTGCCTTAACCTTCATGCTACCTGTGTGCCTCCTCTCTTCTTATAGTTCTCTATTTGAATATCTCCTTATCAGTGAGGCCTCCCTAGTCTACCACACCATCTGCTGTGGCCAGTGTTTTCAAGTATAGTGAGGAAGAAAGGCCATTTACTGATCACAAAGGCAATGCGTTTGCTTTTATAGCTCAGCAGTGGGGCCGGCCCCTACCTCAGTGGAGCCAGCCCCTACCCACATAGGGGCATACCCCCCGCATACTACCTGTAAAGTCCTGCAGGGTTAGCCCTTGGAACATGGCATCCCCCATGTTTCCTGTTTTATTACCATAATATGATAGATTAGCTGCGGGGAAGGAAATGAAGTAATTTCATACACTGGGACAATTTTCTGCATTTTAATTTGATACCCATTTAGGTTATTTGTGTAACAAATGGTAATTCAGAAAAGCCAGTCTCGAGGGGCCAGTAGGTGGCATGGTGACTAAGGCACTGGACTCCCACGTGGCTGACCATGATTTGAGTCCCAGACCTGGCGGCTTGCTTTCTCACTTTCTCTCTCTGTCACTCTCTGGTCAAATTAAAATAAATAAATAAAATAAAATAAAAACAACTCTTTGAAAGAAAAACCAGTCTCAGGCCAACAGGTGGCATGGAGGTTAAGGCAGCTGGATCCCACAGGTCAATTCTGTGGTTCAAGTCCTAGACCTGTCTGTCTGAAAATCATACTGGGAGGGGCCATCAGGTGGCATGGTGGTTAACAGTGCTGGACTCCTACATGGCCGAGTCCCATGTGGTTCAAGTCCTGGACCTGGTGGCTTGCTTTTTCACTTTCTCACTCTATCTCTCTCTGGTAAAAATAAAATTAATTAATTAATTAATTAAGTTAAAATAAAAAAATAATTCTAAAAAAAATAATAATAAAGCAAAGAAAAGAAAATCACACCAGGCACTGCATGTACACAACCAAAATCCTGAGAGGAGAATGGAAGAAAAGGGATTGTAGCAGGGCCATCTCCCTTAGAGGGTGACTTCTCACTCTTCTCCTCTCCGTCTCTCTCTGGCAAGTGCACATGCCCAATAACAAAACAAAACAAACAAAAAAAAAATCAAACCAGTCTCCACGGAAGGGAAACAGTGTGTACTAGTCTAATTGTGTTGCTAACAGAAATACCTGAGACTGGGTAACTTATAAAGAGAGAATAGAAACTGACTGGGTCTAGATGTGTTTTTCAGGCTGCCAGGTTTAGCTGAGGCTCTGACTTTTTCCTGGTTAAAGCGACTGACTCCCAGACTTGGCTGCTTGAAAAACTCACCAGACATTTCCCAGGCTCTCACCTTTATTAGGATCATACAGTGGAAGCCCCTTACTGATGTCCATGCGAAGAGGCTACGCCTCAGGTAAGTGGGCTGGGCCAGGGGGACCTGCACCGCCGCCTTCTGGGAGCGCTGGGGCTGGTCCAGGCCCAGCAGTTCTATGCTGGCTCCTCTGACCAAGTCGATGATCTGGACTGACAAGATAAGTTCTCTCTGGAACTGCCCCACAAGACACAGCTGGGCCAGGGACCCAGAGCTGTGTTTTCCTCTGGGGCTCTGGCCTGAACTACAGCCAGAGTAGAAGTGGGCAGCCTCACTTCAGTTTGAAACCCAGAGGAGAAATGGGCCCAGCTCAGGCCCCTCCAGTACGTTTTCAACCATCCGAGGTGGGGGCCTCAGCACACACTACATTTTTCTTATACGTACATGCCTATGATAAAGTTAGTTTATAAATTAGGTCAGTAAGAGATTAACAGAACAATGATAATGTAACTGATAATATAACAATGATAACTGTAGTGAAGTTTGCATCGGTGTGGCCTCCCTCAAAAAATAAATCAACCATGGTTCCCTGCGGGTCACTAAAACTAAGGAGAGCCAAAGCAGAAGATAAGGGGAACCACTGTAGTCTAGAGTTTAGCAGCCGTGTGCCAACGCGAATTTCTTAGTTGGACAAATGTAGCTGGTTATGTAAGACAAGCAGCCTGGAGAGAAGATCGAGCAGCCTTACCTGACCTGCAGCTGCCAGAAAGGCGGGCGTGCAGCCATCCGAGGAGTTCCCGCTCCCACCCTCAGGCCCGAGCTCAAATCCCTGCACCCCACTCACCTGAGCTCTGCAGAGGGAGAAGACTATCCTCCCAGGGTAGCTAGGAGGACTGGAAATGCTTCAGAACAAATGGGAGAATACTGAGAAATGTCAGCTGAAGACCGGCAGCCAGCCAGGATCCGCACAAGACCCTGCTGCATCTTCTGCCTCACCCCCTGCTGCCTTGGGGTCTTCTCTCTGCTCGGGACCCGGCGTCTAAGGCAGTGGGAGCCACACCTCCACCTTCTGCTGGAGGGCTGGAGACAGCATCGGTTGGTTTTCCGTTACTAGCTCAGAGTGTTCTTTTCAGTTACCTGACTTCCTTCTCGGACATTCTGAGGCCAGTTTTTGTTATTGTTGTTGTTGTTTTAAATAATTAGTTCATTAACTTTATTTGTTCACTTATTTCTTTTTAAATTTGACCAGAAAGAGACACAGAGAGAGAGAGAGAGAGAAAGTCAGAAAGCAAGCCGTCTGGTCTGGGGCTCGGACTGTGGTTGTGCATGTGGGAAAGTCCAGCGCCTTAACCACCATGCCACCTGCTGGTCCCAGAGGTCAGTTTGTCTTGGGTGTGCCTTTAAAGGCACAAAAGAAACAAGGAATCCAGGAATGGTGCGTCCTTGGGCCTCAGTCTGTAAGACAGAACCACCCGACCTGCCTCCTCACAGGGAGCGAAGAACACTGGAAAAAGAGGCACATTAGAGGGCACTGGCCCATCTGGAGGCGTGATGACTAAGGCAGCTGCACCCACATGGACGACTATGCCGTTCGAGGCCTGGACCTCATGCTTTGAGAAACATGCCAGGCATGTGTGTGTGTTCAGAATCCCAAGCAGAAGGGATTGCCGCGTGACCGTCCTCCACAGAGGGTGCTTTCACGCTTCCTCTCTCTTCCTGTCTCTCTCCAACCGAGCACATGTGCCCTCTAGCAATTGGAAGTGTTTGTCAGAGAATTATAAAGGGAAAGATACACAGCAAACTTGTCCCCATCCTGGGTGGGGACGGGGGTGACAACTCTGGGGAGGTTAGGTTTTATTTCTAAAAGAAAGAAAAAATGGGAGCCAGCAGGTGGTATAGCGTTTGGGGTGTTGGACTCCCACATGGCCGACTACAGCTGAGTTTGAGACCGAACAGCTTACAACTCACGCTGGGTGTGTGTGCGTGTGTGCCCAAAGTCCAGAGAGGAGAATGGAGGAGAAGGGATGGCGGTGTGGCTAACCCCTCTGGGGGTGATTTCTTGCTCTGCCTCTCTCTGTTTGCTGCAAGTACATGCACCATATAGCAAAACTCTCTAAAAAGAAAGACAGAAAGAAAAACTGACTAGAAACAAATATATATATTGTTTCGTAATGGATAATTCTGATGGTAGTAGTACTGGTACTCATTGTATTATTCTCTTTTTTTCTGTATTATTCTAATGTTAAATAAAAATAGTTTCCTCTGAATAGTGGATGTAACATGGAGAACGTCTACGGCTATGCCTTCATGTTACGGAGCATGAACTACAGCTCAAGAGGAAGAGGAACTGGTTTAAGGCCAGGCCGAGGACCTGGGCGAGGGCTAGGATGCAGATGTTCTAGACCAAATGCAGGGCACGTTTTGCTGTCTGAGTCACATCCTGGCCCCAGAAAAGTGCCCTGACATTGGTGGGCTGTCTTCACGTCTCAGGGCGCTCTAGGATAGGCTTAGAAAAACCCTATGGATGCCCCCTGGAAATTCACGCTGGTGCTTTCCTGGGCTGGGAATGGAAGAGCTGACCATATATGTGCAAGTAGGGACTATTTCTGCTTCCAGGAGCTGGGCAGGGAAGATTCACCCATACGTGGAGGGTGGGTGGGCCTTACCTCACAGATGTAGTGGCCAATCAAAGAAGCCAGGCAGAGGGAGAGAGAGAGAGGGGAGTGCAGCAGGAGGTAGGGGTGGGGGCAGGCAGGAGCAGCTCATTTCTGAAAAGTGTTCAGATACCCAGGGAGAAGTTTTTGATCAAAATAGAAAAGTACACTGGCGGGTAAAATGATGGTTGAGGCACTGGACTCCCACATGGCTGACTAGTTTGAGTCCCAGGCCTGGTGGCTTGTTTTCTCACTTTCTTTCTTCCTCTCTCTCTCTCTCTCTCTCTCTGCCTCTGTCTCTCTTTGGCGAGTGAAGATGCCTTGTAGTAAATTTTAAAATAATAATAATGATAGATAAAATTATTTATTTATTTATTTATTATTACTATTATTAAGTTTGCATGTGCTTACTGGAGAGACAAAGAAAAAAAGAAAGTGAGAAAGCAAGCCACCAGGTCCAAGACTTGAACCGTGGTCAGCCATCTGGGAGTCCAATGACTTAACCACCACGCCATCTGCAGTCCCCTTAAACAGATAATTCTTTTAAAAAGAAATAAATTAAAGATGGGACCAAGCAGTTGGCGAAATGGCTATGTCACTGGACTCCCATGTAGTCAACTACGGTTCGAGTTCTGGACCCGGTGTCTTAAACTCACTCCAGGAGCATGTGCGTGCACGCCCAAGGTCCCGAGAGGAGAATGGAGGAGAAGGGATTGTGGCGTGGCCATCCCCACTAGGGGGGTGATTTCTCGCTTTCTATCTTTCTGTCTCTCTCTGTCTTTCTGGCGAGCGCACGCGCCCTATAGCAAAAACCTCTCCAAAAAAAAAAAGAGAAAGAAATGAAAGAAAAGTACACTGGCAAAACATGACGGCTAATGTTATGTGTCAACTTGACTGAGTCACATGCTGACCCAATATTTGTCAAACAGTACTCTGGATGTTTCTGGAAGGGTGTTTGGGGGCAAGACCAGCACTGGAATTGGTGGACTGAGTAAAGCAGATTGCCCATGCCAGGTGCGTGTGAGGGGGAGGTGGTGGGGGTTCTTATCCAACCAGTACAGAGCCCAGACAGAACAAAAGAGCTGAGCTCCAGAGAATTCCCGTTCTGTGCCTGACAGTCTTCAAGCAGGGACATCGTGTCTTCCTGCCTTCAGACTGAAACTAAACCACTGGCTCTCCAACTAACTGCAGATTCGGGACCTGTCAGCCTCTGTAATCATGTGAGACAATTCCTTCAAATAAATCTCTCTTCAATAGACACAGATATCATATATCTATACCCAAGGGAGTCTTCAAAAGTTCATGGAAAATGTATATTATGAAAGAACTATGATACATTTCAAAAAGTTTTACACCAAATAAACTTGTACTTTAATTATATTCTCCCACAAGCCTTTTTCTTTAAAGAATTCTTTAACTTTATTTACTTATTTATTTAAATTTGGCCTGAGAGGGAACAGAGCTAGAGAGAGAGAGAGAGTAAGTCGCAAGGACTGGGACTCAAACTGCGGTTGATCATGTGGGAGTCCAGCACTCTTAACCACTACACCACCTGCTGGCACCCCCAAAGGCCTTTTAAAGTCTCCTCATATACATGACATACATGTCCTATTGGTTCTATTTATCTGGAAAACCCTGACTAATCAGGGAGGGTAGAGAAAATGAAGAAGAGGATTGAGGAGAGTGTCCATCATGCGTTAAGGACAGAGCTAAAGTGTTACATCCACCAAATCACTTAATCCTCCAATAGCCCTTTATGGTAAAACTAAACTCACCAGACAGAGAGAAACATAGAGAAAGGATGATAAATCCCCCCCCAGGGGGGCTGGCCATGCTGCAACCCCTTCTTCATTCTTCCCTTGGGATTTTAGGTACACACATACACATGCCTGGTGTGTTTTCTCAAGCCACCAGCTCTGGAACTCTAACTGCACAGTTAGCCATGTGGGATCCAGCCACCTCAACCACCACACCACTGGCTGGCCCCTTCCTAACTTCTTTTATTTAATTTTCTTTTTAAAAAATATTATTCATGGGAACCAGCAGTTAGCGTAATGGCTATGTCGCTGGACTCCCACGTAGTCGACCGCGGTTTGTGTCCCGGACCCGGTGGCTTAAAACTCACGCCGGGCGCGTGTGCGTGCGTGCCCAAGATCCCGAGAGGAGAATGGAGGAAAAGGGATTGTGGCGTGACCATCCCCCCTGGGGGGTGATTTCTCGCTTTCTGTCTCTATGTCTCTCTCTGTCTGTCTGGCGAGCGCACGCGCCCTACAGTGAAAATCTCTCCCCCCCCAAAAAAAAAGAAAAAGAAAAAAATATATTATTCATTTTTTATTATTATTTAACTATTTATTTATTTATAATTTGGCCAGAGAGGGACAGAGAGAGAGAGAGAAAGTGAGAAAGCAAGTCACGAGGTCTGGGACTGGAATCACTGTCAGTGGCCAGCATCCTTGACCCCCTTTTATTTAATTTTCTAATAGTACTGTTTGCAACCCACAAACAACATTTTATAACCTGTTAGAAGGTGGCAACTGCAGGGGAAACCACTATATCTTTTCTAAAAGCAATGCCAGCTATATTACTGGGGCTAGACTTAATTTTTCTTTTTCTTTCCTTTTTTTTTTTTTTTTTTTTACTTTTTTTGATTTTTGCCATGGGGCATATGTGCTTACTAGAAGAGACAGAGAGAGAAAGTAAGAAATCATCTCCTGGAGGGATGGCCACTCCGCAATCCCTTCTCTTCTGTTCTTCTTCTGGAAATGTAGACACACACACACACACACACACTATTCTCAAGCCACCAGGTTCAGTACTTGAACCATGGTCGGCCATATGGGAGTCTAGCACTTTAACCACTACACCACCTGCAGGCCCCAATTCAGTCATCTTGAAGCATAAGAAAAATGCATTTTCTTCAATGTTCAGTTTGGCTGGCAAGCTCCAATTAGAAGCTACACACCATCAAAAGAAGAAAACCTCTTTGTTGAGTAGCACACACAGGAAGTAAAATAGATGTACACTTTACAGACACATGGGCAGAGGGGAGCTGAACATGACCGTGCCCAAGAGGGGTCATGCTCCCTTGAAGTGGGACATTGATCCTGACCTCTGACTGAGTATTTGTTCTTAAACTTCTTTTTTTATTTTTTTTTATTTTTAAATCAGTTTTTGCCTTTGGGTGTGTGCACTCTCTGGAGAGAGAGAGACAGAGACAGTGAGAGGGAAAGTGAAAAATAGCCCCCAAGGGGGGGATGGCCACTCTGCAGTTCCTTCTCCTTCATTCTCCTCCCAGGATCTTGGGCAGGCATGCATATGCACCAGGCACGAGTTTCAAGCCACCAGATCCAGGACTTGAACCGCAGTCATTCTTATGGGAGTGCAGTGACATAACTACTATGCTCCACGCTCTTAAACTTCTTGTCACTGGAATTACACAGAGGTTTCCTCTTGTATCAACTTTCGCTTGGTATTCATCCCATTGCTGTGTGTGGCTGTGGGTTGTTCATTCTCACTGCTGTTGCGCTGTGGGACCAAAGTAGGACCCATGGCCAGCAGCAACAGCAACCCCTGAAGATCTGTCAGAAATCGTACAAAGCAGGGACTGGGCACTGAGGGCAGAGGCAGCCCTCTAGGTTGTACCGAACCCTCTGGGAGATTCTGGTGCCTGCTAGAGTTGGAGAACCCCCACGGAAGTGTATGCCTAGCCACCATATTTAGGGAGAAACTCAAAGTCTGGAACATGTTTTCCAAGAGAGAGGGCACCGCGTGCTTTACTCTCCGGGACTGTTGTGTGAACATTCAACGAAGGAACAGCTCTGAAAACCGTTTCAAGTTTCCATCCCCCAATCCATTCCAAAATGAAGAATGCACCTGTGCCCTAACCGTAAAGAAGATTCTGGCAATTTTCCCAAATCCTAAGTGTGGTGCAAAAGATCTGTTTGACATACTTCTTCCTTATATAAAATATCCATTTTTTGACCATCAAATTTTTCTTTTTCTTTTTCTCCGAAATTCAATTTTTTTTTTTTTGGACAGGTTTTTGCAATAGGGCGCCTGCGTTCATCAGAAAGACAGAGAGATAGGAAGCAAGAAATCACCACCTGAGGGGATGGTCATGCCACAATCCCTTCTCCTCCATTTTCCTCTCAGGATCTTGGGCACGCACGCACACGTGCCTGGCATGAGTTTAAGCCACTGGGTCCGAGACGAGAACCACAGTCAACTACACAGGAGTCCAGTGACATAGCCATTACACCAACTGCTGCCCCCTGCCTCTCTTTTCTTTAAAAAATAATTATTTAATTTTATTTATTATTTTTTAATTTGCTACAGAGTACATGTACTCATAAGAGAGAGACAGAGAGAGAGAGGAAAAGTGAGAAAGCAATCCACCAGGTCCAGGACTCCAACTGTCGTAGGCCATGTAAGTGACCAGCACCTTAACCACCACACCATCAGCTGACCCTTGCTACTTATCTTTTTATTTTTTATTTATTTATTTCTTTTTCTTTTCTTTTTTTTTTTTTTTTGGAGAGGTTTTTGCTACAGGGCGCGTGTGCTCGCCAGAAAGACAGAGAGAGACAGAGAGACAGAAAGCGAGAAATCACCCCCCAGGGGGGATGGTCACGCCGCAATCCCTTCTCCTCCATTCTCCTCTTGGGATCTTGGGCACATACGCACATGCACCCGGCGTGAGTTTAAGCTGCCAGGTCCGGGACTCGAACCGTGGTCGACTACGTGGAAATCCAGCAACATAGCCATTACACTAACTGCTGGTCCCCTTATCTTTTTAGAAGAACAACGTAATCCTAGTACTAAAACTTTTAAAAACGTTTACTGAAAAATTGAATAATTATATTTTATTATACTGAGAAATTATTAATTTTTTTGGTGGAATAATGGTAATAAACGTTCTGATCTATTAGTGATACATGCTAAAATATTTATGGATAAATTGATATGTCATCTGGTTTCATTTCAAATAACCTTGGTTGGAGAGAGGAGTGGTTGAGGGAATCAATAAACCAGGACTAGCCATGATTTGTTAAGTTTTTAAAAAGAATTATTTATTTTATTTTATTATTATTATTCAATTTTACCAGAGAGAGACTGAGAAAGTGAGAAAGCAGGCTGCCAGATCCGGGACACAAACCATAGTGGACCATGTGGGAATCCAACACCTTAATCACCCCACCACCTGCCAGCTCCAATTTGGTAATTATTGAAGCTGGGTGATAAGCACATAGAAATTCATTACATTATTTTCTCTGCTTTTGTATATGCTTGATATTTTATATAAAACAAGAAATAACTACACATGATTAAAAGACATTAAATACAGAAAACTACAGGCTCATAAAAATAATTTAAAAACAGAATCAAGCAAAACAAAATCATTGAACACCATTGGATGTTGCTAGGACACCAACTTACCACTTTGAAACTGGTAAGGGAAGAGATATAACATTTAAATGGTATTTATCTTGCCATTCTGGTGTGAACTTTATTTTAGGGTAACCAAACGGTCCTAGAGGATGTGGAAAAGTTTTCGTAGAGAATTAAAAATAACAAATGAAGAAAAAATAGCTGCATTAGAAAGTCACCATTGTGAAATCCCTAGTGAAATAGCCAAATCATGAGACAAACCAACTCAGTGAAAAACTGACAGAGAACTTCCTGAGGCAGGGATCAGCCTATCAGCATCTGAATATAGGAGGAGCCTAGGACCTGAAAACCGTGGAGGAGGGCTGTCCACCTGTGCTGTGTGGGACAAATGAAAAATAAATCTTTACTATGTTCAATCACTGAAATATGAGGGTAATTCATAATATAAGTGAGCTTACTGTAGTATACCATTTTAAGATATTAAAACATGTAAGCACATAATTACATATATTTTCAAAGATAACTATATATCCAGACAAATACTGACACATTCAAGCATATGTCTAAGTCAGGAAGAGGAATGAGAATAGGGGTCTGGAACCAAAAGATGGTAGAACAAGAAAGTATTAACTGACGATGAGAATTTGCCATGCTCTGAGAAGCATGATGTTTAACTACTACCGAATAATAGCTAATAATATATTTTTTTAATTTAAATTTGTTTTTGCCTTAGGGCATGTGCGCTCACCAGAGAGAGTGAGAAAGAAAGAAAATTCGTGCTGGGCAAGAGAGTAAGGACAGGGTGTGTGTGTGTGTATGTGTGTGTGTGTGTGTGCGTGCGTGTGTGTGTTGAGGAACGAGAGACTTCTGGAAGCCCCTGCAATCAGACCAATCTGCGTTCATATTATAGCTCATTTGTTACCTACCTGACCTTAAACAAATTTCTAAGGACTAACATGCAAGGTATTAAAGAATAACATGGATTTTTAAAAATTATTTATTTAATTTTTAAAAGTTATCATCATTTTTTGTTTTAAATTGACCAGAGAGAAAGGGAAAGGGAGAAAGTAGGCCACCAGGTCCGGGACTCAAACCGCGGTCAGCCACGCGGGAGTCTAGTGCTTCATCAGCTGCTGGCTCCCAAGAATCAACATGTTTTAAATTACCTAATTTATAAATGGCCAACTTGCTCTTTCTTTTTTTTTGTAAGTCATATCTCCTTTAGGTTTACAGAGAGCCATTTCTCCATTCATTGAACAGGTGTCACTGAACACCTAGAGCCTGGCACCACTCACACAGTGAACCTGTATCCAGCGCAACCCCCAGGCATGTCTCAGTGAAGCTACACTGAGCTTTCCAGTCAGCCCAGTGCTCAGCCTACCAACTCCATCCTAAATGCAGGCCTTTCACTGCCGACTCCCATGTCTCATGCCCCCCCCCTTTTTTTTTTTTGGAGAGGTTTTTGCTATAGGGTGCATGCGCTCGCTAGACAGAGAGAGACAAGAGAGACAGAAAGCGAGAAATCACCCCCCAGGGGGGATGGTCACGCCGCAATCCCTTCTCCTCCATTCTCCTCTCAGGATCTTGGGCACACACGCATGCACACGCGCCCGGCGTGAGTTTTAAGCCATCGGGTCTGAGACGCGAACCGCGGTCAACTACGTGGGAGTTCAGCGACATAGCCATTTCGCTAACTGCTGGTCCCTCATGTCCCCTTTTGTGTGCCATGAGCAGCTTCATCTCTCCCTTTACCCCAGGCCCTGATAAAACCCCAGTGCACTTGGAGGACAGTATGTTCTACACCCCCTTTTTAAAATTTTGCCAGAAGGTGCATGCATTCACTAGAGATAGAGACAGAGAGAGAGGAGGAGAGCGTTCCCCAATGGGGTATAGTCCCTTCTCCTCCACTTCATCTTTTTAGGATTTGGGGCACTCTTACACATATGTCCACTGTGTTTTTCAAGCCACCAGGTCTAGGATTTGAATTGCACGGTCAGCCATGTGAGATAAGGCTCCCTTAACCACTCGGCCATGGAACTGGCCCGGTATGCTCCTTTTTATAAAGTATTATTTTATTTAACTTTATGTATTTATTTATTTACTTATTATTATTTTCCAGTTTGATCAGACAAAGAGGGAAAGTGTCCATCAGTTCCCGGACTCCCATGTGGGAATCCAGCACCTTTAACCACAATGCCACCTGCCAGCCCTGTTCCCTTTTATTTTTTTTATATAATTATTTTATTTAACTTTATTGTCATTATTTTATTTGTTTTTTTAATTTTATTGAAGTTTACCAGAGAGAGACAAAGAGAAAGAAAGTGAAAAAGTAAGCTGCCAGGTCTGGGACTCGAACCACGAATCATGTGAGTTGAACCATCATGTGAGTCCAGCCACCCTAACCACCAAGCCATCTTCTGGCCCCCCAGTATGCTCCCTTTTTTTATTTTTTCTTTTTTTGAGAGTTTTTTTGCTATAGGGTGCATGCGCTCGCTGGAAAGACAGAGACAGAGAGATAGAAAGTGAGAAATCACCCCCCAGGGGGGTGACCATGCTGCAATCCGTTCTCCTCCATTCTTCTCTCAGGGTCTCGAGCACGCATGCACACACGCCCGGCCTGAGTTTAAGCCACCGGGTCCGGGACTCGAACTGCGGTCAGCTACATGGGAGATCAGTGACATAGCCATTATGCTAACTGCTGGCCCCATCCCTTTGATCATACTTTTAACATCCTGCTTTCATCTCTCTCATCTCTGCATCACTCTTTTTCTACTTTGAGCTCCCAAATAACTCCCTAATGTAACCCAGAAAAGTCTAAGCTCACAGGAAAGCTGTAGCATAGACACAGATAGAAAGGACCAAGGATGTGTGTCCACTGGGGTCCCTGGGCTCCTCTGGTAGTGAACTGGAGTCTGAGGTATTCAGGGTGAGTGCCCAGACCTACCTGGAGTCCCCAGGCAGCTTCACTCACCCCACCTCTTCAGCCCCAGCTCAGGCGCCTGTCCAACTCACCTGCAACTCCCTGATCTGTGGAACATGCCACCTATGCACAACCCACCCAGATTTCCTATTTCACAGCTCCCCACGCCATCTTGTAACCTCCAGGTCTGAAATGCTGAGCTCTACCTACACAGTATCTGGACCTACTTACCCTCCCTTCCAGAAACAAAACAAAACAAAACAAACAAACAAAAAACACACTGATTACTTCAGGAGTGATCTTCCTCATATCTGTAGTACAGACTAGTCACCTTCACTCAGTCCAGGCCCAAGACTCTCTTTCCTCAGAGCCTGCAGCTCTTTTTCTAGACTGAGCCGCCTTGCACCAGCCTCCTAGGGAACATTATAACAGGAGGAAAATTCCATTCAGTCCCTTTAGGCTCCGGTGGTATTGGTTGGAAACAGTCTGGCCAAGCAAAAGAACTGTGGGCAGAGAACCAATCTGGGTTATCTAATCTGGGCACTGCCGTGGTTTACAGCCAGTGATGCTGGACAAGTGTATGCCCTCCCTAAGCCTGACTCTAGCCAGTCTGAGCATGGAGGGGGTCCTCTTCTGGAAGGCTCAGATTTTATGAGTTTGAAGGTTCCACCCAGCAATCTCTGCAATTCCAGCGATGGTGCATCATGGCCACGAGGGGGCGGGCAATGTCTTTGGCTCAGAAGTTTGTAGCTACAAGAACAAGAGAGCCTCAAAAAAGAATCTGATGGCTTCCTAGAGGAAGAACAATTCTCCAAAGGCGCACCACAAAATGGCAACAGAATAGGGACTGGAATAAGGTACTCGGATTCCCAGTCTGAGGGGAGGTCAAGGAGCCCCAGGAGTACTAAGAAGCTGAGAACATATTTTGGAGAGTTCAATCATTTGGAGAGGATGAGAAGAGAGAGGGTCTTTAGGGAAGAACTATGTGGATTGTTCCAGGAGATTCGAGTGGGAACTGCAAAACAAGACTTGAGGAATTTAGATGAAGTAGAGATGACCAACTTGACTTCCTTCTCTTCCCCAACATAAAACAAAAAGCAGGGAAACAGTAGGACTCATCCCAGGATTTGAAGAATAAGAATCCTCCAACTCAGGAGGGCACAGTGAACAGCCAGGGATTATCTGATGCCATGTTCCCTTCGTTTTTTCCACAGTAAACTAGTTTCAGGGCCTGGGAAAGATAGGGATGTACATATGGGGCAATTACATGAAATTCCAAGGGTTAATCTCCAAGAATCCATTCTCTGACAAGGGCTACCCCTAGTCCTCCCTCTCTCTGGGCTGACCACACCCTGAGCACCAGCCAGGTTGACAGTTTTCCTGAATTCCTTCTTCAGTGTCATTCTCTAGGGCTCTGGAACCTGGCCCAGAGCCAGTCCCCCTCTCCTCACTCAGCTACCAGGAGTCAAGGCTTGTTCCTTCCCCCTCCCAGGATGGGGCCCAGGGACCAAAGAGCCTCTGTCTTTCTCTGCCACGCCCCCACATTGTAACCCAGACAAGGCAATTCCTTGTGTCCCAACCTCAGGCAGACATCCTTGTGACCAAATGGTGGAAGGCCAGGGACAGGAAGGGGGAAGGGCAATCGGACTCAGAGAAGATGACATCCTGGCCCTGCCCGAGATTCTTGTACACCCGTCCAGCTCTGGGACCTGCCTTTCTCCTTTTCTGGCTCCCCTCAACTACTGGGGAGAAGAGGCTGGGGCTCATCTGCATATAAAAAGCCTGAAGAGGAAACTGAGAAGGTGAAGAGACACCAAAGCTGAACAAACAGCCAGATCTGGAGCCAGAACACAGAACCGGGGCAGCCCAGGGTCAGGGGAAGACAGGGCACCGCGGCTATGCAGGCCAGACTTCAGAGGCCCCTGACAGTTTCTCTCCCTCAGCGCATAGGGACAGGAGTGCTGGCACCAGGCAGGATGCAGCACAGAGGCTGAGACCCCCTGGGTTAAAATGACAACACCTGTTTCAAGAGTAGGACCCTGTCCTCCGCCAGGGTGAAACGTTCCTGCCAGGAGAGACGGTGTGTCCCCACTAACAGGAAGTAACAGTATGAACAATAAATTTCACGTCTCACTTAGCAGCAGGGGCTCAGGCTCCCAGCAGGGGCACCATCCAAGGACTGGTGCAAAGGAAGGGCTAGTCCATCCTGGCAGGAAATGACATCACTCAGCAGACAGGAAGCGGGGGTAGACCAGCCCCAAAGGCTTCTGGGAAGGCCAGTCCCCGCAAAGTGGGCCCTGAATGTCCACGTTGCACCTCTACCTCCACCTTGGCCAAGAGGGGGCCAAAGCTCCTAGGCTTCCGGTGAGATAACTACACCCTCCGCTTTGCATCTGTGATCTCCTAGGGGACCCAAATTCCTTAAATTGTAAATTAATGGGTTGGGGGCGGAAGCCAGAGGCCAAGCCTCTAGAGTCAGTATCTCTATGGAAATAGCTCTAGGGACCTGATAATTGAGGGATAAAGGCAGAGAGTCCCCCGAGAGAGAAGGATGATGAGCCAGGTTTCCATGGTAACCGACTTCAGCATAGTTTCTGCCCAGTCCCAGAATGAGGGAGAATGAATTTTGACACAAACCAGGGCCAAGGGATAAAAGAGGCACAGGAGTACGGAAGAGTGGGGAAGTCGCTACAAGAAGGTCACATCATCCTGGCACTGTCCCCAGTACCACTGGGCCTCAAAACCCAGCTTGGCATTCTCATCCTCTGGTGACTCAGGGGGTCCACCTGGGAGGCCCTCCCCTGGGGGCATCCACACAGCCCTCAAACTCCCTAGCCTGGTGGCTGTCAGGTCCACCTCAGTCCTGGCCCTCTCCCCACCAGGCAGAACCTTTTCCCAGTCCATCTCAGGACGAGGAGCTCCAGGAGGGCCCTGTTCATCCAGCTCGCTGGGGGCCACTGTGTCCAAGAAGCTGCCAATAGAGACGCTGTCCAGTCGGTCAGTGGTGCTGGTGTCTGGCAGGCTGTCCCAGCTGCCTCTCCTTGAGCGGCCTGGGCTTCCGCCTGTCAGGCTATACTGGCTGCTGGTGAGGCTGCTGCAATGGCTGGTCAAAGTCCCCCGCTCCTCCAGTAGCCAGCGCACTGCCTCGATGCCCTCATTCAAGGTCACCAGCTGTTGCAGGATCTTCACATCGATGGCCCGCAGGTAGGCCTAGGGTGGGAAGGGGTGGGGGGAGAAGGAATTAGCACAGGGTTCTGGGCCATGAGTTCCCCAGGGTTGACAAAGGCCCCTAACTAGTGGTCTAATCAACTATGCTTCATTTTTTTTTAAGTTTTCTTATTTATTTCTTCTATGTACATGTGCATGCAGGAGAGAGAGAGACAGAATCCCCAACAGGGTCCCGATGCTGTGATTCAGCCCTAGATCCAGGGCAGGTACGTCCCCAGCATACTGAAGGAGGTCTTCAGACTTGAACTGGGAACCTTCCCATGTGGGATCGACTCTCAGAGCACAGCACTGTACTGTCGATCACCTTCAGGCCCCCAGCTATGCTTCACTTTGAAGCAGCATGGCAGTGTAATGGTTTGCAATGTGAGTTTTACAAACAACCAGACTGCTATTTAAAATTTCACCTCTACCACTAATAAGCTATATGACTGTGGGCAGCTTTCTTATTTCCTTTGAGCTCTTTAGTTTACTTTTTTATTAAAAAACAAGCTTGGGGGAGCTGGCAGGTGGCATGGTGGTTAAGGGCTCTGGACTCCCACATAGCTGACCATGGTTCAGGTCCCATACCACAAAGCTTGTTTTCTCACTTTCTCTCTCAATCGCTCTCTCTCTTTGTCCCTGTCTGGTCAAATTAGAAGAAAGAAAGAAAGAAAGAAAGAAAGAAAGAAAGAAAGAAAGAAAGAAAGAAAGAAAGAAAGAAAGAAAAAAAGAAAGAGAGAGAGAGAGAGAGAAAGAAAGAAAGAAAGTTGAATAATTCTTAAAAATTTATTTAATTAAATTAAAAAAAAAAAAAGCTTGGGAGACCAACAGTTGGCATAATGGCTATGTCGTTGGACTCCCATGTAGTTGACTGTGGTTCAAGCCC